TCAAAACACGTCATTAAATCACCGAACTCCGAACTCCAACCCGAACATACAGTGATATGTCCGTGTTCAGGTCCGGGGTCCAAAAAAACGTAATGTTCGGTACGAACCCGAACTTTTCAGTTCGGGTTCTCTCAACTCTACTGACCACAATAAAAGGACACTCTAAAATATGCAGTTTTACCGTACTGAGGGGATCCGGAGGGGTCCGAAAACCAGTCAATATCTTGTCAGAGCATCATTTGCCTAACGCAGTGCAACACATCTCCTTCGCATTGAGTTGATCAGGTTGTTGATTGTGGCCTGTGGAATGTTGGTCCACTCCTCTTCAATGGCTGTGCGAAGTTGCTGGATATTAACAGGACCTGGAACATGCTGTCGTATACGCCGATCCAGAGCATCCTAAACATGCTCAATGGGTGAATGTCCGGTGAGTAGCCTGGCCATGCAAGAACTGGGATGTTTTCAGCTTCCAGGAATTGTGTACAGATCCATGCAACATGGGGCCGTGCATTATCATGCTGCAACATGAGGTGATGGTCGTGGATGAATGGCAAAACAATGGGCCTCAGAATCTCATCACGGTATCTCTGTGCATTCAAAGTGCCATCAATAAAATGCACCTGTGTTCATTGTCCGTAACATACACCTGCCCATACCATAACCCCACCGATACCATGGGCCACTCGATCCACAACATTGGCATCAGAAAACCGCTCACCCACATGACGCCGTACACGCTGTCTGCCATCTGCCCTGTACAGTAAAAATCAGGATGCATCCGTGAAGTGAACACCTCTCCAAAGTGCCAGTCGCCATCAAATGTGAGCATTTTCCCACTCAAGTTGTTTACGATGACGAACTGCAGTCAGGTCGACACCCCGATGTCACAAAATTTATCTGCTATTTTTTGTGTAACTTGCCTGAATGGACATCTTTGAAATGCATTACTTCTGTACTTTTTCCATTATTTTTTCTTTCGTATTACTGTTTGTGCTTACCAAAATACCAAAATAGTGAGAAAATGTATTTAATTTTTGGTGGTCCTACCATATCGGAGTCCAGATAAGTGTGTTCTCTTCCAACTAAACATACAAGTATATGGGTATTGCCGACTCCAAATACAGTACAGAAGATCTGGAGTCAATGGTACAGTTTTAAAATGTGTCCATTATTATCGTGTGCACAAAGAATGGAGATGCCGTGCAAGACACCAGATCTTCTGTCCTGTATTTGGACGTGGCATTAAAGATACACTTGCACTGTTTTTGTTACTGTATTTTTAGTGAATTCAGTATATTAATATCTGCACTTTTATAGACCAAACATTATTCTACATATCTGTGTAAAATGTTGTTATGCATTTTTGTGACTCTCTGAAATGATATTTTGCTATCGCATCTTGATAGCCCACACCTGTGAGGTGGATGGATTATCTCGGCAAAGGAGGAGTGCTCACTAACACAGATTTAAACAGATTTGTGAACAATATTTAAGAGAAATAGGCCTTTTGTGTACATAGAAAAAGTCTTATATCTTTGAGTTCAGCTCATGAAAAATGGAGGCAAAAACAAAACTGTTGTGTTTATAATTTTGTTCAGTGTATATTATATTATCATTATTTTTCGCACTTGCACTGTTTTCTTATATTGTCCTTTTATATAATGCATATGGTTATTGCACCACAAATCCCTTAAAGAAGTCCTATGTTAGCCATTTAAGAATGATTTGAGACCTAACTGTTGCTGTTATGTGCCCACAGCCCTTCTGGATATTATTCATTAGTGTAGGATGTCAGCTGAAGTGGGTATGGTTCTTCGAGTACCCATATACCATTTTTAAAAAAATGTATTTAAATGTTAATTATATTACACCTGAAGATGTTTAATTTTATAACTGTGGAATGTGTCACCATGCCAAACAACTCGCATGATGGGCACCTATTAGATACTGGGCATTCCATAAAAATATTCTGAGTATATAACATCTAATAATATTTATGAGTTTAAATATTCGTAGCTCTGTAAGCAGTAAGATACAATATAATATGATAGCATAATGTTAGCCTCTTATTTTTTAATAAAATTGCTGGCCTACCTACAATGGAAAATTGTTCCATCCTTACATTCTTTTATAACACTGGGAACAATACATGACCTTATATGCCCCCAGAATCATGTTCATGATGGATGCATACCTTACTCTCAGCCTACCGATGTGCATTATTTATCTAGGCAAAACAATGGGATATTCTAGGGGGATGTTTTGGAATAAAAACATGACTTCTATTTTTCTAGGACTTTTTACTGAGATAAATATGTATAAAATACAGTTGCACATATGTCCACAATGAGCTTATCTGTAATTGGACACAAACCAAATAAAATAAAAATTCTTATATGTTTAATATTTAAACTCCTCAGATAGAAAGTATTTTTTAAGTTAATTTGCTGTCAAGACATGTATTTGGGAAAAGAATATAAAACATTTGAATAAATGAGGTGCATGTGAAACACTAAAAGGGATTTATTTTTCCTTCTTCTGTGTTTTGTGCAAATTCATAATAGAGGAAAAATGTAATCACCACAAAGCTTTATTTCCCAACTTTAGGTGTTAACATACTGACAAAAATGTTTCACACACTTTTCTGTCACATCACACACTCCACCTTGATGAATGATGCTTTTCTCAGAATTCAGGCCACCCGTACTATTCATTGCAGAGTGGAATATTTTGTGTGTCATAATCAGTCAGTAAATTAAATGTATTTTCATGAACTGTTGTATTAAATGGACACGATAGTCACAAAAACAACTTTGGCTTCATGAAGCAGTTTTGCCCCTGAAGTCCCACTACTCAATTCTCTGCCATTTAGGAATTAAATCACTTTTGTTTCTGTTCATGGAGCTCTAACCACACCTGTCCTGGCTGTGACTTACAGAGCCTGCCTGAAAAAAAATATTCTATGTTCAATCAGATGTTTGTGTTCCTAACACTATAGTGTTCCTTTAACTTGCTTTAGTTAGATAAGTTTTTATCTCCTGCTCTGCATATTGAACCTTTATTGCATACAGGAGGCTCCACCAGGCTCTAGTATAATATTAACAGAGCAGGAGATAAGTCTAGATTAAATAGACTAAGTCATAAAGGAAGTTTAAACATTAGATCTTTCTTTACAGGAAGTATAGGAAGGCTGTATAGGTCACATGCAGAGAGATCTGACTAGGACAGCATAAACAAAGTGATTCAGCTCCTAAATGGCAGAAAATTAAGCAGTGGGATAGCAGGGACATGATCTGTACACCAAAATTGCTTCATTAAGCTAAAAGTGTTTTAGCATCTATAGTGTCCCTTTACTATTTTTGATACTGAATTGTCTAATGTGACTGAGTAAAAACCAGCCTACTTTGCATACCATTGACATGTGTGAAACATAGTATATTGTTTAATTATATCTAGAGGAACAGAAAATAGGTTAGATTAAATTAATTTCCTATGCTAGGGGAATCAGGTGTTTGTTTAAAGCTTCCAAACCACACTTGCTGCTTTCTGAACCAGACTGTGAGTTACCTTTCAATTATCTTCATGTGTGTTGGTCTTGTGCCATTTAGTTCAGCTTATTGCAATATTTGTAGAAAATACTGATGATTAATAAAAAAAAACTTAGCAAATAAGCACATCACTACAAACCTATGTAATGAAGGTATTATCAATATGGGTATTATTGTGTATTCCTCTGTATATTTTACTATACATTTACAAACTTTATTTCTAACAAATCAACCATTCTCTTAATTGTCTATATGTTTATATAGAGGAACAATGCTTCTGTGTGCTTACATTTTTTTAATTAAAACTGAACTTTAATCAAATGAAGTGGCACTCGACGGTGACATCATTGCTGGTCCAGTGGCCAGGGAGGAGGATCAGGGGAAGGTTAGGTTACTTGCCTGAGCCTGTCCCTCGCAGGCGCAGTTATCTTCTTCTAGCCAGTAGTCTTCTGCTCTAGGTGCTTCAGTGCCAGAAGCCGATATCACTGCTATACTCTCGCGCATGTGCAGGATCCTCCATAGATACAGCTAATATCTCTGCAGCCATCATTGGTGACAGATGGGAGATTGACCCTTTTAGGTGGCATTAGTTTGCCCAAATCTAAAAGTGTCAGGCATTGGAAAAACACTGAGACAAAGTAGTCCTTACTGTGCCTCAGCACGTTTTATGAGTGGTTGGAATTTCAGTAAAATTCCAAGAAAGTCAGTATAAGTATTTTTTAAAGATTTTATCTTTAATAAATACTTATTTTGCCAGGGTGGGGTGACAGTTCCACTTAAGTTCAAATAACAACGCAATATGTTCACTAATCTATGAGTTACAGTGAGCTGAGGAAATTTTGTATCCTGTTTGTCAACAAACCATTACTTATTTCTTAGCAAGTGAATGGAAATAAGAAATAGCTCATGCAAAAGCACTTGGTGAGGAGTACTATTGTGAGGCAAAGTGAAAAATAACAAGCTATCACTATAGAAACCACCAGAGTGTCTCAGCATTTTGCACTTTGTACACAAAATAAAAAGCAGTTTTACCTTGATGAATCTCGACCTAAATTAAAAATAAATATCACCACAGATTGATAGTGACATGCTTTTGAGGTGAGAATTGTTAGGAAGTCAAGGTGAATTTAAAATTTAAGATCAAAATAGCCCATTCAAACGTCACTTTAAATTGACCTTGAATACCCGATGGTTCAAGATGGATGCTTCAAGAGACACACAAGCTCCTTCTTGGTAAATCATGAACACAATTTATTCTGGTTCATAGACAGAATACATAGCAACTGTCCCAATAACACATAAACAAAAGTGACATGGTAAATCTCAAACAATAAGTAGTCTTATTTAAAACTGGTAATTCAATTACAGGTACACCAGACAACAGGTAATGTTATTAAAATATAAAAACTAATTAACAAAATACTTCATGTACAGGTAATTCCAGGCAGAGGGGAACACAATCCAATTAACAGACTCTCTAATTGTGCCTGCACTGCAGGGGGTAAACTATCAGCCACTGTCCTTGACTCATTTACTGTGGCACAATGTAATCCTGCAGTGTGTGCTTTACCTTTGGAATTCTGCTCTGTTGATAAAGCAATAGGGGATCGTGGTTATGGTCCCTGGCATCTTTGGCAATCCAAGGGACAACATAGGCCTGACATGATGACAGACCTGTTCTTCACAAACTGTCTTCCTGCGAACATTGAATCTGCTTGGTTCTAAACAACAATCATCACAACCAACATCATAGGCTATGCAATTATAATACAAACCCACTGATAGCCTCATCTAAAACACATGTAATCTCTTTAAGCCTAGCAACATATCTACCTAGCAGTAATTTAGACCTTTTTATAGACAAAAGTACGAAATCATGGTTGTCAGCTATTGCACTACCAACAACATATATAATCAGGAGTTAAATATACAAATGACGTCAATTGATAACAAAAATCAATGGTACATCAATTAAAAAATAAAAAAATTTAACCACAGAAGAAAAACAACATTTCTATCCTCCTGGATGTTAGAAGCATATATATGCATGCCATTACTCTCCTTTGCACTGCAACTGGTTGGCTAATTAATCGCCTACTTAAATGGACACTCCAAACCCATAAACCACTTCAGCTTGTTGAAGTACTTTATGGGTTAACTACATGCTTCCCTTGTCCAATTAATAAAAAGTGCTGAATTCGAGAGATGATCATAAGTCACTGTGTATCTAGTGCTTTTTGATACCTGTCTGATATTTTGCATCTGGAAAATGAATTTTATATGCTCATTGAAAACCTTTCTCTGAAGGGGACAAATGTTCTAAAATCTGTCATGAGTGAGAACTTCTAGTACCGCAATCTATTAAGCTGTCAGTACATTGTGAGTATCATTTGCACTTTGTTGTTGTTTAGTAACACTTCTATAACAGATATGTCACAGCAAATGTCTTTTATATTCCATTATGTGATATAAATCGTTTGTTACTGTCCAGGCAATAAAGTCAAATTAGAAATTGGAGACTGAGAGATGGTCTAACAGATGCCAAATCCACAAGGATACAGCAGGGGAACATGAAAAGTCCTGTGTCAGTATTAGTAAGTCAATCATAACGATAAGCCGATTTGTTTAGCACTAAATGTCACAGGTGAGGAAATAATGGCTAATTATAATAGAGCAAACGTATCAAAGAGCTCTGCAGAAGTCAAGGCAGCAAACTCAAAAATGAATGATTAACAAAAAGTCTAGATAGACTGGAGGGCATAAGTACAAAACAAAGAGAGATGGCATAGTGAGAAATTTAGGTACAAGCATTGAGAAGTTCCGTGAGAACCAACTGTCACATCTATTGATTTTCTTTTCTTTAACACTGTCTTTATATGATCTGGTCATTTGAAATCTAGAAACACGGGAGAATGTTTTTTCAAAAGTATAACTCCACTAAAAGGCATTAAGGTTATGTGGAAATGGGATCGTGTACGCCTTAACCTCTTCTACTACTCACCGGCGTTCTTAAGCTAGGCACCAAGTTATACTCTTTCTTCTCTGTTGTTAATATTTTTGCATATTATATTAAAAAACTCTGATGGATAGTCTTCAGGTCCAGGGCTCATGCACTATGTATAACTATTATGTCTATAATATTTGTAGGTGAAAAGATGTTGGCATGCTTTTCTGTATTACGACATATATTTTGATTGTAAATGTTAATTGTGTATTGGGTCGCCTGATTGTAACTGACATGAATATTGATGACCGTCATGGCAAAAATAAAGATTTTAAAAAAAAAAAAAAAAAGTATAACTACACAGAGATTTAAATTAGACCTTTCATTGTGTTATATTGCATAATAAACTATATCTCCTCTCCACCTGCTGCAAACAAGAATCTAAACTGTGAGGAACCTACCAGCACTTCATCAATATGTAGCTAATAAAGGATTGTTTATTCAGCAGAAAAAGATAATCAGATTGTCTGCAAAACTCACCAATCATACTTCCTCTTTAATGTTTTGTGTAGTGTTACACATTTAATGGTTAGCTTTCTAGGGATCTATATATCACATTGCAGCATTTCAACATTTACACAATTAAATCTTTTATTTCTTTTGACAACCTGGTCTATCAGCCCATTTAAAATAAATAAATATATATATATATATATATATTTTGCACTTCTTCAAAACTTTCCTAGAACAAGTACACAATCGTACTCAAGTATATTTATTTTATTTCATGACAGATTAGTTTAAAGAATATTGGGGGGTGGAGGGGTGACAATGATGAATTCATTATCCACGTTACTTTTTCATGGGTGCCCTGCACAAAATTTATAAACTGGTGATTTTAACATTTAACATTTTACTAAAGTTTTGACAAAATGCAATAGTAACTGCTTGGGCATATGATAAATGTAGAATGACAAAGAATGTAAATGTAAAATTACAAAGAATTCACATTGACTATTGCCTTTCAAAAAAAAAAAAAAGAGCGAATGCACTCATTTATAAAGCCACAGGGTGTAACTGAGTATGGGTCGGTATACTCCATAAATATAATACAAAACACAAGAATCAAAGGCACTCACTGAGATAGGAACCAAGCAGATTTATTGGATCAAAAAAAAAAGCCGCAACGTTCTTTATCAAGCTTGATAGGTCGAAATGTTACGGCTTTCTTTTTGATCCAATAAATCTGCTTGGTTCCTATCTCAGTGAGTGCCTGAGATTCTTGTGTTTTGTTCATAGTTAAAGAAAAAAGCAAAATAACAAATGCATGTATGGTATTTTATCTGTAATAAAAATGTCATATGGTTGATTGGAAATAAGCCTTTTTATGTATTTCTCTTCTCAAATTAACGGTTCGCAGTAATATACTTCTATATCACCCAAGAATATTAATAAAAATCAATATTGATCGTGTTGGCACTCAATTACGTGATGGTGCAGGTATTAGAGGTATTCCCCCCATAAAACCTCAATTATATATACAAAGATTAATCAGTTGACACCGCACTCATATGCATAAGGGAAAAAGGAATCACCGTGTAAATATGCAAAAATTAATTTGTACACTAAATACACCAAATTCATGAAAATAGAAAAAAAGTAGAAAGCTTTATGCATATGGTGTTCATGGACTGTATATAGTTGTAAATAGTCTGGGATGTATATATTATATTTTGTTATATGTATCATAGATTAATTCATAGAGAGTTCATCAAATTATGGTCTCGATTTTTTTCAACTTTTTTTCTATTTTTATGAATTTGGTGTATTTAGTGTAAAATAAATGCATTTTTGCATACTTACACAGTGATTCCTTTTTCCTTATGCGTATTTTTATGCATGTGAGTGCGGTATTAACAGATTAATCTTTGCAAGAATATTAATACGCAATCTGACATTCTTTATAAAAGAAAATTGTGACAGAACCATCTGTATGTCTATTGTGGTGGATTCGTCTATTTTGCCCCTTTCGTGTAAATGGCTGTTCTATAGCCCAGCCATACGAATGACTTTATTTTACCGAACAAACCTACCGAACGGATGGCCACCCAGGATAGAAGTGTGCTGCTGGTTAACCTCTTGATCCCAATTAGAACGTTGTGGTTAACCGCAGACACTTCTCAATTAAACCGAATTCAGGGTGGCCGTCGTTCGCATGTCGACCACGAGGCAGCGGCCATTTTAAAACACACGAAAGACCAGCGGTGTTTGGCAGTGATTTCATGGAACTAAAAACTGGACACTTTTTCTGCCGAACACCGCTGAAACAACGGATCGCCCTACTCCATCGACGAAAGCATGCGAACACCGGCCGTTCGGGAGTTTGGAATCACACGAAAAGACTTAACCCAGATAGCCTTCCCATGGAGTCAATCGCATGCCGAAAGACTGTAAGAACTTTGACTCCATGGCGATTGAACTATGCGTATGGGATCTGAGCGTTATTCGCTAATAATATGCCCTCAGATCCAGGCTATCTGGGGATATGTGATACGAATGTGAAATGTTCGGTAGTTGTGGAATTATATATTTTTGTGTGTTTTCTGGCATTTTATTTAAGATGGCGATTTGTCTTTGTCCTGGAGATAATTGGATTACTTCTCAATTATCTCCAGGGCAGAGGGGAGGAAACCATATTGCATTGTGGGAAAAGTTTACATCTGTATGTCTGAAATGTCCCCATGTCTATCTGTCATTACCGTCTAATGGGTTCAAAAGAACAGTTGATAATTTGCTATGCTGTACCATGTGGGTGTATTATATATAGGGGAGTGTCCACCAAGTGGGAGACCTGCATAAATACGGGCGTGTAGCCCACAGTAAAGCGAGATCCTGTTTGACCCTCAATGCGGAGCCTTGTCTCTTTATTGGGGGGATTTATTACTGATACCTAGAGACTGATTACTGGAACCGAAAGCCGCTTGGTGGATATCTTTGTTCGGCGGTTAGTGGCGGTTCGTGGATTTCTGTTCGGGAGTTTGGAGCCTTTCACGGATCCCGGTCGGGAGATAACCGCTTCCCCTGATGGTGGTTCGTATACTGCAGTCTATGCGAACGGAGTTACTGATATTGCAAAAGGGGAAGGTTAACTAAACGGCGGTTTCTCTTAAAGATACCAGGGGTGTCTTAACAAAAATATACATTTATTCTACTCATAATGCAAACTAAAAATGTAACCGATGGTACAGCTTAACAATGTTACAGAGAGGAAGATCTTTGATGGAGAGTAAGCGTCTCTATCTAGAAAGTCAGGGGAACAACAAGTAGTAAATGGTAGTAAAAATGTGCTTGTTTATAGACATGACTATAATGACATAACACTTTTTAACTAAATCTCTGGCCATATTAGGAGTCATATATAATACACCCACATGGTACAGCATAGCAAATTATCAACTGTTCTTTTGAACCCATTAGACATCCATACCTAATATGAATAGGAGCATAGAAAATGTAAGAATGTTCTATATTTCCCTCTTTTTATGTTTAAAAACCATAACAGAAGTTCATTTATCTGTACATTCATACATCATTTGTATCATTTGTTTCAAGAGTAATTTGAAACAACTGACCATTCATGTTCTATCTCCTTTAATTTACCCTGTTCGTGTTCAAATTAAATGTCTGTGTCTTTCACCTGTCTTTGCAACTAATATAATAATACCTTATCTTTCCTAATCACATTAGCCCACTTTCTCCATGGAAATTCACTGGTTTGGGAAACATTAAATTGAATTGG